CCCAGGGTCACACAGCTAGTAAGTGTCAAGTGTTTGGTTCTGAGGCTACATTTGAATTCAGGTCCTTCTCACTTCAAGGCTGGTGTTCTATCCACTGCGCCACCTAGCTGTCCTGGAACAAGTATTTATTAAGCACCTGCTATGTTCCAGGCACTATGCTAAATGCTTCACAAATATCTCATTTGATCCTCACAACAACCTGGTAGGTAGTGTGAAGGATTGTTGAGGGGTCCCCTGAACTTGTCTTTTTGAGTTGCCATATTTTCCAGAAACACTGGACCCAGAGCATGGAGGAGGCCCTGAATGTGTCAAGGAAGAAACCCCCTGCCCTCATCCCAAGATGACATAATTTGTTGTTTTGACCCCAAGTTGGATATCCTGTGTGTCCTTGGGAGGCAAGACAGGTACCAGTCAGTTTGTGCCAGGTTGGGAAAATGCTTGTGCTGCTGAGGTCCTATGCAGATAAGCAAACCTTCCTATCTTCCAGATCCAGCAGTTCCCAAGCTAAAAGAACATGGCTTTTGTTGTGGCCTTGGCTCCTCCCCTTTGGGTGGGGTTTTGCCCTTTTCACACCTTTACTGCATTTTTCCCTTCCCATGCCAACACTCTTTAAGTAGAGATATGTATTTTCTCCTTCTTTTGTTTTACTGTCATAAATATGCAAACTTCTGTAAGGGCTGTGAACTCTGGGTTCTATAAGCATATTCATATAAAGTTTCTCGACATTGTGATTGCCTGTTGACAGTAGGTAGCTATTATTTTTCCCAATTTACAATTAAGGAAACTGAGACAGAGGTTAAATTACTTGCCCAGGGTCACAAAGCTAGTAAGTTTCTGAAGCTGGATTTGAACTCACATGGGGTATGTTGAAGGTATTTCAACCCTCAGAAGTCAAGTCAGCTTTGCCAGTGGTGGGGTGGGGGTGATTGAATTAGATTCAGTTCGGTGAGTCAGTCAACAAGCATTTAAGTGATTACTCTGTGCCAAGCAATGTGCTTAAAGCTGGAAATACAAAGGCAAACAAACAGAAAAATAATGAAAACAAACCAAAACAAACAAAAAAGAAAACACATGGACCTGGACCTCAAGAAGCTCATAGTCTCATGGGGGAGAGAATATGCAAAAGTATACTTATAAGCTATATACAGCATTCATGGAATTTTATTACTGGTTAGGCACTCAGGGAAAGATAAAAAGAGAGAGAGGGAGGAAGAGAAAGAAGGTGGGAGAGAAGGAAGGCAGGAAGAAAGCAGGAAGGAAAGAAAGAGGGAGAGAGGAAGAGAAGAAAAAGAAAGCAAGAAAGCAAGAGAGACAGGGAGGGAGGAAGGAAGAAAAAGAAAAGAAAGGACAAATTCCTTCTTGAAGGATCTTACATTTGATCCCAGAAGACTATGTGTGGGCATCTAAGTACAGGCATGCCTTGGAGATCTTGCAGGTTTAGTTTTAGACCACCACAATAAATAGAATGTCAAAATAAAGCAAGTCATAGGAATTATTTTGGTTTTCCAGTGCATATAAAAGTTATATATGCATTATGCTGTAGTCTAATAAGTGTATAATGTGTCTAAAAATGTACATACCTTAACTAAAAATATTTTATTGCTAAAAAAGCGCTAACCATTATCTAATCCTTCAGAAAATCATAATCTTTTTGCTGGTGGATGGTCTTGCTTTGATGTTGATGGCTGCTGACTGATCAGGGTGGTATTTGCTGAAGGTTAGAGTGGTGGGGAGAATTTCTTAAAATAAGACAATAATGTAGTTTGCCTCATCAATTGACTCTTCCTTTTACTTGAACACTTTGAGGGCATGGTAGGATTATTAACTGGCCTAATTTCAATATTGTTGTGTCTCAGGGAATAGAAAAGCCAGAGGAGAGGGTGAGATACAGAACAGCTGGAACAGTTAGAACACACACAACATTTATTAAATAAGTTCGATGTCTTACATGGGTGTGGTTTGTGGTGCCCCTAAACAATTACAATTCTAATATCAAAGCTCACTGATCACAGATCATAACAGATATCATAATAATTTAAAAGTTTGAAATATTGGTAGAATTGCCAAAATGTGACACAGAGACACAATATGAGCACAAGCACCAACCTTCAATTTGCACAAAATGCAAAATCTTTGAAGAAATAAGATAAAGTATGTCTGCATATACAAAAGAAATGCAAAGCATTTGGGGAAGGGCTCCAAAGGGGAAGGACCTAGAAAAAAACCTTATGAAGGTGCTGGGACTTAAGCTGATTTTTGAAGGAAAGAGGAATTTTAAGAAGGAGAAAAAATCTGCAACAGGAAGCATCAGGGAGAGCTTCAGAGGAGGCAGCATCTGTGCTGAGCATTTGAAGGAAGATAAGGATTTAAACGTGGAGATGAAGGAGGAGTGCATCCCAAGCATGAAGGCAGCTTGCAAATACCCACATGTGGATTCTGAGATCTCTTTTTAGCTCTCACTCATACAATACTATGATTCTTCCATGTCTAGGTTTTCCTCTCTCCTCCCCCCATACAAGTATGGAAAGTAGCTTGTGTTAGTAGTATAATCTATGGTCACAGAACACAGAGAACCTGACCTGCTTCCCAGAGTGCCCTATCTGAGCTAATTTTCATTATTTAAACAAACAGACAATATTTTTTTTACAATGACACATAACTAATGAGCTAGTAGAAAATTACCCTAAGGGTACATTTTATAGTGGTTGTTTTTGCTAGAGTTTGTTTTTCCTTTTTCTATCACATTTTTACTGCAGACTAAATTAGCTAAAGAACCTGGAAGGGCTTCAGGGGCCACTGCATCTTACATCTCACTCTGAAACACACAATAGTAATAGCAGCGGACAGCTTTTTTCCTCATCACAACCTGAAGAAGTAGATAACTTGGAGTAGATAATGTAAGCATTATCATTACCCCCATTTTCCAGATGAGAAAACTGAGACTCAGAGAAAGGAAGTGATGATTTTTTCAAGGTCAAGTTTCCTCCTTTAAATGATTAAGTCATCCCTTGCAAAGCAGCCAGGTAACCATATCAACTATTATCATCAAACACGTTATTTTTCATTAGATGAGAGGCAAGAGAGCCAAAAAATTGGTATTCTATACCAGATACCAATTACCCCAGATTTCTTTTTTTTACTCCCACCCATCCTCATTAGAGACAACACGAGGAGTCTTTCTTCCCTCGAATGCTGGGCCTGGAGTCAGGAAGCACTGAGTTCAAATCTAGCCTGAGATTGCAAAATGTATGACCCTGGGCAAGTCACTTAACCTCTGTACGCCTGCAAAATGGGGCTAATAACAGTACCTCCCTGCTAGGGTTGGTCAAATGAGATAATTAATATTTGTAAAGCACTTAGCACAATGCCTGGCAGTAGGTGCTTAATAAACTTTTATTTCCTTCCTCAGACTTCCATTCCTGGAAAGCATTCACAAAGAAACAACTCCCCATTAGCTAGGACAGAACACCCCTTACTTGGAGACTTGACTGATTTTATTCAGTTCACGAGCATGGTAACCCTGGAGGCTCTAAAGAGTAGGTGTCTAATTTGGCTTCCAAGGGAGAGACCTTGGGCAGTGGACTAAAAAGGAAAGAAAGAAAGAAAAAAGGTATTAACAATAACAGAGGGGGAAAAAAACCCTGCTACTTACATGGCAGGAAACTTGCGACACTACAAGTATTCATTCACTAAGGTGATGATAAACACAACTTCAAAACATACTTTTTGACACACCAACAGGACGTTGCCACCTTTATAACGCAGAAACTGCGAGACAGATTTCAGATACAATAGCGAAGCTAATGTGCATTGTAGTCTCTGAAAAGTGTTGGGGGGCAGGGGGAGAATTCATCTCACAGACAGTTCTAGCTCCAAGAATGGCTTTCTGTTGTCACTCCACAGTACTCAGAGGTTCCCCTGCTTGCCCAAGTCCTTTAGCCTCCTTCCAGCCCGGGTTGGGTAACTGCTCAACCCTGGCAGTCCCCGAGCATCAGGAGCTCTCCGCGGTCCGAGTCCCACTCAGTTGCTCCTGGAGGAGAGCACACTTCAGTACCCCGGGTCCCCCCTAAACAGTAAAATCCCCAGCTAATAGAGAAAGAGGAGGGGGAAAGAAGGGTGGCGCTAAAGCAGGCGGTGACTGTGGCTCGGAAAAGGAGGACTGGAAATTGCGTTGAGGACCAAGTGGTCTCAGAAGTGAGTCGGGTACATTGCAGGGAGATGCACCACTTTTGGTCTTCCACCACAGACCGCGCTCCCGGGGAGCAAGCTTATGCCGGGATATGCAAGTCGGAAGACGTGTCAGGCCCCTGCTTAAGGCAATCTTATGGCGTTTACTTACCGTAAACGAATTCCCTAGGAGCAGTTTCTTTCTTTTTTTTTTTTTTTAAGCTAGGCAATGGGGTTAAGTGACTTGCCCAGGTCACACAGCCACTAAGTATTAGGTGTGTGAGGTCGGATTTGAACTGAGGTCCTCCTGAATCCAGGGCCGGTTCTCTATCCACTGCGCCACCTAGCTTGCCTCCTTAGGACCAGTTTCAAGGGAAAGAAGCAGCGGCTTCAACTTCGTGGTTTGTTTTGCCTTTGCTTCTAAAGCAACAATTCCCAGTCTTTTGGTCTGTGTACCCCTCGATTTTTTGACAAATCTTCCTGTACTCCCATTCAGTATGAATGGTAATAAATTCTAGAGTTTTACCATACACATGTACATTAAGAAATAAAGAGATTGATCTATTTCAAAAGGATAATGCAGTTAGTTTCCCAAATATTCTCCGCCTCCCCTCCTTGACAAGCATCCCATCCTCTAAGTTGGGAACCATTGCTGTAAAGGAAAATGAGGTTGACAGGTTGCGTGGGGGGGGGAGGGAGAGAGAGAGAGAGAGAGAGAGAGAGAGAGAGAGAGAGAGAAGAGAGGAGAAGAGAGAGAGAGAGAGAGAGAGAGAGAGAGAGAGAGAGAGAGAGAGTCAAAAGATGGGGCTTCGAATACCGACTGTGCTACTTACTATGTATGTGATTTTAGGTAAGTCCCTTGCATTCTGTGGAGCTCAGTTTCCTCCTCTGCCAAAAAGAAGGGGTTGGACTTGATCCCTTTCAGCTCAAACGTTTAATCGGCCTAAGTACCCAGGGGCCTGGCTCACTGGGATAAGGAGAGATTGATCCTTCACTATGAGCAACTCACAAGGCTAAGAAACGGAGTTTGGCTTTTGGTTGGTTAAATCCAAGCCTCTGGTGGCAGGTGCATTCCAAGTTCGAGGATTGCAATAGGTTAAATTTTTAAATACAAAGACCAGAACAAAAGGCAATCCTCGCAGCCCACTTTTCTCACCTAAAGCTTCCGGAAGTTAAAGTTGCTTTCTCAACTAAAGGAAATGCATGTCCCGCAGCATAATGGAAATAGCCCAAGACGTGGGTGGGGTGGGCAGGACACGCGCAGGGACTGGGGAGAGAGAAGGAAGTATTGCTTTATTATTTACTTTTATTCATTCCACCGTGAAGAGACTACTGATGGGATTGGGAAGAATGCCAAACTTGGAGTCCAGAGAGACTTCATTTCTAGTCTCACTTTGCTAATCTCCCGTCTTAATTTCTCCATCTGTAAAAAGAGCACTCGGGGCAGCTAGATGGCTCAGTGGGTATTTCTGAGTTCTAGTATGGTGTCAGACACTTACTAGCAGTGTGATCCTGGCTAAATCACTTAACCCTGTTTATCTCAGTTTATTCATCTGTAAAAATGAGCTGGAGAAGGAAATGGCAAACCATTCCAGGATCTTTGCCAAGAAAACTCCAAATAGGGTAACGAAGAATGGGACACTACTGAAAAACGACTGAACAATAAACAAAATGGTCACAATAACAACTTTAGTAACTAGCTCAGGAGGTGGTTGAGAGGATCAAAGGAGATGATGAAAGGCACTTTACAAGTCTTAAAGCTCAACATAAAGATCACCTACCAAAGAGCCTTAATTCCGCTTCTATTGTATTGGGGGGAGGAGGGGTGCTAAGGCTGAGGGTGGTGGTGAGGATATTAGGAAGAATGTTTGGCACTTTGTGAATCATACTGTTCATTATTTAGGCATTTCAGTCCTGTCCAAGTGTTAGACTCTTCGTGATTACATTTGGGGTTTTCTTTGTAAAGATCCTGGAGTGGTTTGCCATTTCCTTCTCCAGCTCATTTAACAGATGAGGAAACTGAGGCAAGCAGGTTGAGTGAGTTGCCCAGAGCTACACAGCTAGTAAGTGTCTGAGCCTGTACCTGAACTCATGAAGATGAATCTTCCTTATTCCAGGCCTGGCATTCTACACCCTGTGGCACTTAGCTGTCCCATACATCATACTATAACTATCTGTATATGCCTCTGGTCTTTATTACACCTTGAGTTCCCTTTCTTATCTAAGATCTACACTGTTTTGTATCTTCCTGGTTTTCCTTGGAGAGAAATAACCAGGAAAGACCTTCTAATCATCTTTTAGGGCACTTTGTACCCTTAATCACCTGACTTCTTTACGCCATCTTCCCTGCCATCTTCCCTGTGTACTCTTTGGCCCAACAATGTGACCACTAGGTCTTTATCCCAAAGAGATCAAAGGAAAAGGAAAAGCACCTACACATACAAAAATATTTATAGTAGTTCTTTTTGTGGTGGCAAAGAATTGGAAACTGAAAGGACGCATGAACTGAGGAATGGCTGAACAAGTTGTGGAATATGATTGTGATGGAATACTATTATGCTATAAGAAATGATCAGAGGGATGGTTTCAGAAAAACATGGCAAAACATATATGAGCTGATGCAAAGTGAATTTAGAAGAGCTGGGGGATCATTGTACACAGTAACAACAATTTTGTAATGATGACTAATTGTGAAACACTTGGCTACTCTGATCAACACAACGGATCCAAGACAATTCTAAAGGACTTATGATGAAAAAAATTCATAGAGAGAGAACCGATGAACTCAGTGTAAATTGAAGTATAATTTTCTCACTTTATTTTTCTTGCTTTTTTTGAAATATGGCCAATATGAAAATGTTTTGTATGATTTCACATGTATAATTTATATCATTTCGCTTGCCTTCTCAGTGGGTGGGGAAGAGGGTGGGAAGGAGGGAGAAAATTTGAAACTTAAAATTTAAAAAGAATGTTATAAATAAAAATGCTTGAAATAAAAAAACCCTCGCTTGATCCTTCCATCTTCACTATCATCCTATATTGTGTTAATAGACTTCATGAGGTTGCCCAAGGGGTCTGTGACACACAAAAAGGCCAAAGACTTGTTAGAGTTAAACAGGCTTACCTTTCCACAGGTAGAATAATGCAGAGTTTAAAGAACAGCAGCTCCAGGAAGTAGTACACCGTAGGTGGGCTCGGCTTAGCCAATAAAAAGTAAGTTGATGGCTCCATAAAGACCCCAAAATCAAGATAAGGGTCAAGCCAGCTCAGACCAGTTAGGGTCAACCTGAGGACCTCTGAAAAATGTTAGTGCGGATGCTTAATGAACTTCATTACTATTATCTGACACACCCTGCATAAAATTAGAGCCTCATTAATGAGTCATGGGATGTAGGGAGGGGGAACATACTTGAGCATATCAAGGGGAAACATGTAAGGAAAGGTGTAACCTGGGAAGGGATGGACCAATCCAGGCCTGGGAGGTTTCGAGCTGAGTGCAACTGCATAAAAGCACACTTGCCCTTGCACTCAGGTCCCACCCCTCCTGAAGAGGGGTGGAGCCCACTTCTGGTCAGAAACATCTAAATCCTCTAGACTTTCTCTGTAATAGATTTTCTTGATACTAAATTTTTGGTGTCAAGCCTATTTCTAACAGACTTGAAGATCTCAAGTCACTTCCAGCTCTAGATCCTAGACTGTTAAGGGATGTAGATAAATAGACCTGAAGGTCAGGAAGATCTGAATTCAAATTTGCATCAGACATTTAATAACCTTGTATCCTGGTCAAATCACCTAATCACTATCTGCCCCAGTTTCCTCATCTGTAAAATGGGGATAATAATAGCACCTACCTCCCAAGATTGTAGTATGGATCAAATGAGGTAACAGGCACAGTAGACAGGGCCTGGCACATAGTAGGTACTATACAAATGCTTATTCTCTTTCCCCTTCCTGGGGGAAGGAGAGAGGGGGTGGTGGTGGTGGTGGTGGTGGTGGTGGTGTGGTGTGTGTGTGTGTGTGTGTGTGTGTGTGTGTAATGGGTGGAAGAAAAAAAGGGAGGGGGGAGGAGGGGATGGAAATCCCCCCACGTGGACAAAGAACTAGCCAAATTAAAGGGGAGCAAGGAGAAGGAGGTTACAGGAGTAGCTGACTTTCTTTCCCAAGTATTCTGTTCTGTGCGATGCCACTCAAATTAAAAATAAAACAAAACACAGAGGTGTCCAAGGAGAAACAGTTAATTCATTATAGCTATAATAATTATTATTATTTCAAATCTCGAGATTTGGGAGTCCTCGAACCAATGGCTCTGATGAGAGGAGACAACCCACAGAGGTAGAAATTAGTTTATATAACCCTGAAGGTTCAATTCCCCCTCCCTCACAGCTGTCTGTTAACTCAGCTAAAAATGTGCAGTTAGGAAGATAATTTACAATTGTTTTGGAAGGTCTCAGGGATTGAACAGATAATGCTGGGAACAGAAAGACATCTGAATAAGACCCTGTCAAAGGGAGATAAGGGGACTTGAACATTTAAGGTTTCCCGGGGTTTGGGACAAAAGGCGCATCTGGATAAGATCATAAGGCAGGCCAGGGCTTAACAACTAGACATTTTAGCTGATAATATCTGGCACTAAAAAGAGAAGATCTTACAGTAATCTATTCTTAACCCTAACCTACCTTCTGAACTCATTACCTTAATTACACTGAGAAGTCTTCACTAGGACATCCCATTCACTCCTATAGTAGGAAAGATCTAAGGAGGCAGTGTGAAGTCATGGTGAGGGTGCTGAACTTTAGCATCTTCATGTACGTTCAACTATGAGGCACTTTGTAGTGTAAGTGTGTGCAGTTTACTTCATTTCTTAGCCTTAGTTTCCTGGGAATTATACAAATTGCTCTTTCAGAGGGCTGTGATGAGAAAAGTGTTTTATAAATGGTTTGGTGCTTTAGAAATCTAAATTGTATATATGCATGAATTATTTTTTTAAAAACCAAAATTCTACAGTTCCCTCCCCCCCCCCCCCCCCCCGCTGGTAGAGAGGGACTAGGAATGATTACTGTGCTCTGTCCATTTTGCAGATGGAGAAAGTGAGACACTTGATGATAAAAGAAACTTGTTCTAGAATACTTAGGAAAGCAGTGATATGAAAACTCAGCCAAAAAAAAAGTGAGGCTGTTTAGTGAAAACTTCAGGGATGTTATATCCATTATCCTAAAGCTTTTATTGCTAATAAGTAAAATAATTGCTAATAAGTAAAATACTAATTTAGTATTCACTTTTCTACCTTACACCACCCCTACTAGTCAGTTGGATCTCCAGAGGGGTGGCTGTTACTATTTCTAGGTTTCTAGGAGTAGCCCTGTGGGAAGCTAACTTCTTAAGTGCTAGTTTATGAGCCCTTGCTGGTATACTTTCCCTTAGCAGTCAGGTAGTAAATGGAATCAATTCTTTAATGAAGGCATAGCAAGAACAGTAGTTACAAATCATTATTATGCTTCTCTGAGAGGCAGCATTGTGTAGTAGAGTTTCGGCTTTCAAGCCAGAATCTCTGAGTTCGGAGCCTGTGACTGCCGTTTGTTACCTTTGTGACCCTGCAATCTATCATTCTATGATGTACCCATAAGACGTCTAGTATTCCATCCAACACGCTCCATTATAATGCTAATAAATGCCGGGTACAATTTTTATAATGATGCCTTCAGTAGTTCTTTAAATCTTATTTTTGTATGGTTCTAACAATAACAATAGCTAGCATTTATAGAGAATTTTAAGGTTAGCAAAGCATTTTACAAATATTATTTCATTTTATCCTTGCAACAATCCTGAGGTAGCTGCTATTATTATTCCCTTTTCATAGATGAGGAAACTAAGACAGACATAAACTGTTTCTAATTTTTATTCCTTCATTTTCTTTCTTGTTCTTTTGAAGAAAAGCTCATAAATCCCTTGAGAGTCTTTGGGAACACATAGATGCACTAACAGAAATGTTCACTACTTTGTTCCCAAACATGATACTCCTACAATGCCTGCCACTGCTCTGCACAAAGCAAGTACTGCTTAAAGACTTGTAACAATCAATTGTTGTTTTTCCTCCTTCATTTTCGAAGAGGACCAATGACATCACAAGTAACATCTTGAATTGCTTGGGAATTGGA